GATGCCCTTTGCTACTAGTAGCTTCTTGTTCCTAGTAGTAAGGCCAGGAGCTACTAGTAGCGTCCTTGCTCCCAGCAGCGATGCCCTTTGTTACTAGTCGCAGTGTCTGTTGTGTTTGTGTTCTCGAGATGCGCCGGCCCTGGGCCCTGCTTCCATGTTTCCAGGCCCCATCATCGCAATCGCCGCCGCCTCCTGGAAAACCGCATTGCCAACCATTTGGGCAAGCCGTGCTCGGGACTGCAGGATAGGGTCTGTGAAACAAGTAAGGTCGGCAGCCGAAGAGTCCCCTGCTATTCCCCTGATCGCCCCATGATATAGAAATGGCAGGGACTCACACAAGTCTTGTTGAATCCTAATGTCTTCCGCAAAGCAAGTCAAAGTTGCGACAGTAAAAATCCATGTCCATGCGATCTTCTTTCCAAGGGATTTAAACTACATGCGCTATGAAGAAGACATGGCTTTGGGTCAAAACTCAAAACTTTGTGCTCTTTATAAACAACCAAAAGGGATTTTCGGAGGCACCCCTGGATTGTAGGAGCTTGAACGCAAGTAGCCCCATATTTCATATTTAGTAGCAGCACAGATCAGCAGGGCATCAGCAGGGTACTCTCCAATTGGATTCCACAGATGATAGACAGCTGTGTTTTGCTGTGCTGGCATTCGCTTCCCCTTGAAGCCTTGCTCTCCTGCCACTGGACTCCGGCAGATTCCAAGGTTCCAATTCCACTCCTCAACGCCCATTCATCGGGAGGATGAGTTTCTCGCACGGCGATGCGACGCGCGAGACACGATGTCTCCGGCGGTGCCATGCGGTGCCAAAGAGCATTTAGCCGAGGATTTGGGGCTCGACCCTCCAGGGACGGATTTAGGCCCGATGAGTTTTGCGCCATCAAAGAAGTATGAAGGATGAGTGTGATGCCTGCAACAGAAAGTGGTGCAACACCTAACATACGGCTTCGATGTTTTCATTTTCATCCAAAAACCTCGGCAAACTTCGTGGCTGCGACGAAAACGCCTCGCATAATTGGGGGCCGAACGGAGGAGAAAACCGCCGCGGACCGCCTAGAGACAGTGGGCGACTATGTGGCGGAGTTCTGCCTTCAGCTCAGGGAACTCGAACTCGAGTTCTTTTTACGTTTTTTCTTGGAGCTTAGCTAAGCTAGGCTTGGTTGGAACCAGTCAAGTCGGTGGATGAGAGATTTTCTCTCCAAATTCAGATGAAGTGCGTTGATATGCTTTGATAGGGGCTGAAGGAGGATCATACGATGTGTTCGGGCAGCCGACTCGTGCGGTAGCTAGTGCTGGTGAAGGCTCCATGGCCTTTGCCCAACTAGCGATGGCCTCCACCCTACTATCGATGGCCTCCACCCTACTAGCGATGGCCTCCAACTTAGTAGCGATGGGCTCCACACTACTAGTGCCCGAGGCAGCAGTAGTAAGGAGACATTGACGGCCTTGCGAGTGCTGATGTTGGAGGAGCGCTTCTTGTAGTGGGCTGCCGGAGGGGCTTGGGCGACTGGAAAGGGTGTGGTGGTATGGAAGGGTCAAAGGAGCACGAGATCAGCCTATGAACCAGAAATAGAGAAACATTCGGAGACTTGTATCTGAGGTGTGGTTGATGCTCCGCCGGCATCACAACCATCCCCCACTTGCCGCAACAAGTCAAACCATCCAGCACTGATGTCCGAGCTCATCAAACCCAGCCGTGCGGTAATCACTTTTTTCTTCGGACGGAGCAATGATCGACAAACGGTTTCATGGCTCAGGAAACGTCCTTATGACACAAAATGACACGTGCTCTTTTTTTGGCCTCCACATGACTTGGAAGAGCTGGTCAAGACATGGAAACAAGAACAGGGACCTCACCTCGTAAAAGAACACCTGAAA